TTGTAGGAAAGAGAATGTTTAGCCCAATAAGGTTCTGGATAATAGGAGGTCATTATAGTCTGTGAAGGTTTAGAAAATGATAAAAGCTTAGATTTAAATTTGGATAATAGGAGGATTTTTTTCCTCCTCCATCTCGATGATACAACCAGCTCAAGATCTTCTCTCAGTACCTGTCAAATCTTTCTCTAAGGACAGTCTCCCTGTCTATTCTTGCCATAACCTATATTTAGGTTATTCCCCAACTTATATTTTTTCTCTTAAAAAAAATAAGAAAATAAAAAAAAATAAAAAAAATATTATAAAAAAATATAAACACTAAAAAAAAGATCCAAAGCACCCTAAAAATGGTTAAAAATTGGTTAAGAAGGTTTAAAATTACAAATATTAAAATTTGACAATATTTTATTGACTGATGAAAGCCCTGTTAACAAAGAAAATTTAATTTAAGGAAGAAAAGTCCAAAATCAGATGTTTATGGACTCAATTAAATGTTATTAAAGGTTTAATTGAATTTATAGAGAGTTTAATTGCAAGAAAAATTGATTTTAAAATTAATTTAAGTTTTAATTATAAGAAATTAAAGTTTTGGGGTCAAATTATAATTTTTGAAAGTTAATTTAGTCAAATTAGAGGCTTAATTGCATAAATATTGAAGTTTGATGGTCAATTAAGGACGTAATTGAAGAAATCTAAAATAAAAAAGGTGCATAAATAGAAGGGCTAAAATTAAAACCAGATTAAGGGCCCAATTAAAGAAATTAGAAGTTTATTACTCAATTGAGAGTCAAAGTGTATAATTTCAAGACTAAGGACTAAAGTGAAAAAGACAGGTAATTATTTAATTCTTGGTAGGGATGCAATTGCATTGATTGTTAAACTAAAATTTTCATTCAGGACTTGATTGAACAAATTACCAATTGAGGATCAATGTGAAATTTAACACATTTTGCTGTAATTTGTTTTAAATAAAAGGGTGTATTTTGTTTAAAAAACGCCATTTCATGTACTGTTTTTTTTAAAGGCCCGAAATAGTGCCTTTTTAAAGGCACTATATGTCTTCTTCTTCCCTGGACGCTTAAAGTAGGGGAGGAAGAAGATTTTTCTTCCTTCCTTTATCATAGCCATCAACGTCAAAAAGACATTGACTCCTTCTAAAAAGATGCCAACCACTTTCCAGGTGTTGAATGGACGGTGGAGGGGCGACTGCATGATGGTCCTCCCTGCCTCTCCCCCCCTGTTTTCTTATAAATACAGGGGAGAGACCAAGCGAAAAAGAGGAGGGGACTAAGATAACAAAAAGGAACAGACTAAGAGAGACATAGTAGAGGAGATGAGAAAAAAAAAGAAAAGAGAGAGAGAAAGCAAAAAAAATGAGAAAAGTAGAAAAAAAAAGAAAACCAACACTGTCGCCCATCATCACCACCGTTTATCGCTTCCAAGAGCATAGCCAATGGTTATAACCATCACAGGTCAGCCCTTCTCCCTTTCTTCTTTCTCCCGCTTCGTTTTTACTATGCCTCCACTGTTCAAATAAGCTGGGTCGATCCTAGCCCATGTAGTTGAGCCAAGTTCAGCCCAACCCATATATTTAGGCCTGTTCGACCTATTAAATTTTTTTTCAAAATTCCTTATTTCAAAATTTTTCAATTTTTCTACATAATTTTTTCATGTAATTTTGATTAATGTCGGACACTTTTTTATGTCATAAAATACAAATTCAGTATTAAAATACTCTGTTTTTGTCAAAACTTCCAAAAATATAAAAAAATTGAAAAAAAAATTTTTTGTGCATATGGCCAACTATCACATAACTAAAAAATCATATTGTGTATTTTTTTTTTTTGTGCATATGGCCAAGTATCACATAACTAAAAAATCATATTGTGTTTTTTCATATTTCAAGAAATAATGTTTTAGTATGCATTTTGGTTTTAATAACTAGTTTATTAAAGTTAAGAGAACATTGATTAAAATTTCAAAAGTAACAAAAAATTTATTTCGTTTGACTCTTAGCATCCGGGGTATAACATTATATATAATACGTATTTCAAATATTTAATTCTTTTTTTGGGATAATAGAACAGTTAGGTTTTACCATTTTAAGATAAGAATCTCTTTATTTTTGTCTTGAACCTTAGACAGACTAACAATTAGAAACCATAACACAACTTTAGATTTTATTAGACAAAACAATTTCTTTAATCTTAGGTATGGCATATTTAAGGTGCCAATACATTTTCTTTATGCAACTAGTATCCGTACTCAATCTCTAAAACCATTTTGGGTTCCTAGTAATCAGAATATTAGGTGGCGACTCCCATTTTATTTTTTCACTGATAAGAGAAAAGAATTCCTTATCTCTTCATATTTTGCTAGAAATACACTACTCTATTTTTTTCTTGGAGGATGGACGATCGTCGTGACATCGTATGTGTGCGACAATTCTTTTGCTCAAGACAACCATATTTTTAAGGATACTTGTAATTGTGATAGTTGTCATAATCCAGACATGGAAGATCAACCTTTAGACAATTTGACTATTCTGTTAAATATACTCCTCCCTCTTGGGCAAATCCAGAACAAGTCTACACGGTCTCCATGTATCAACCTACAAGACCTTATGATGATAATTTTCCTGATTTATAAGAACAAGTCAAAGATAAGGTTCACACTCTTCCATAAGTTCACAACCCTCAAAACGTAGATGCTGATGATTACACTAAACACAATCACCCAAACCGAAGCAGTTCTCAATTGGCAAAGTCAAAATACCATTGTTCAAAATTCTGTTCTTTATAGAATTGAATTTAAGGTTAACTTGATTTAGATTAATTTGAGAAAAATGATAGTCTTAGTTGATTCTTGAATTCTTTATCTCAAATAATTGTGTGCTGAGATTTAATAAAGGATTTCTGTCATCCATGAGTATTTACTCATTCAATTTTTTAATGGTAGGTATGCAATCCCTCAGAAAAAAATTATTTAAATAAAATTATTTTTTAAAAAAACCTTACATCATAATATTAAATGCATAATATATAATATACATACACCGAGGTAGGCAATGAAATGAAAAAAGAAGGGGAAGCTGAAAGGCTTTTTTATTTAACAAGTTTTTCTACTTTCATTTAAGATTTTTATGTAATTGAAAGTTTTCTCGAAATCATGAAAAAAATGCAAGATAAGGTGCATTTTTTTCATAATTGTCTAAAAGTCTTACGAATGATCATTACTATGATTACTTAATCATTGGATACAAAGATATCCAAAAGTTTGTTCGGAGAGTGTTGTTTTTTAAAATTTTATAGGAAATTCATAAAGAATAGTATATATATTTTTTAAAAATATATTTTTAATATTAACACATAAAAAATATATAAAAAATAATTTTAAATATATTTTTTTTACATGAAACACTACTTGTAATACAACTTCAAACCGCTATGTCAAAATCTATTCATCAAGAAAAAAAAGATAACTAATCAATTTAAGTGCATTATGATAGAGTCACATTTACTTTAAAAAATAATATGCTAAGTACTAAACTAATTAAATCTACCCAATGATTTATCAAAAAATATTCAAGATTAATTTTAAGGGGGTATAGTTAAGTGCAGAGCTAGAAATTTTTTCGATCTTGGACTATTAAATAAATATATAAATTTTTTAAAATCAATTTTTAACTTATATACATGAATTTTTAAAGTTAACAGTAAAGTTTTAATTCAAATACAATGCCTAAAATATTAAAAAATAAATTTAAAAGTATATAAAATAGAAGTGAAAGTAAAAAATAAACTCATTATTGAAGTTTTTATCCTTTGATATTTTGTGGAATGTAATTCATCTATAATTGAATCTGAAATGATATTGTAACAACCTTTCAATTGAGATAAAATAACAATCTCATATGAACTGGAAAACAAAGTAATTAAATTTTTTTTCTCTCTCAATTCCTCCTTCCTTCACTTGATTCTTTCTTAGATTAATGTTTTATAAGCTATATTTTGTAAGTTTAAAATGTCATTCTTTTTTTTATGTTTTTTCCTTACTTTTATCTCTCTCTCTCACCTTTTCTTTTCTTTCTTTTCCTATTATGATTCTGCACAGTCATCAATATATAAAAGGAAGGAAGAATTGATTTGTTTTATTTTTTAATGACAAATAATCATTTTACTCTTAATGAGTCATTTTGTTTTTATTTAACAGTTTCTTTTTGTTAACACCACCAAACTCCATTCATTCTAAAATTTTAATCAAATTTATTCAATATATTTTAAGATTCCTTATAAAAGTTTAACTTAATATGATGGTCAAATTGAAAATTATACACAATAACATAAAACTGGTCAAATTATATTTTTTTAATCAAATTTTTAAATTTTTCAAAAAATTATGAAATTTTAACTCAAGATAAAACATCATATTAGAAAGTTTCATGTAAATTTTTAAAATTATAAGTTTTTTACATAAAATTATTAATAAAATATTAATAAAATCTTGGTTTAGGCTGTAATCCACTCAAGTTTTTATCATATCTTTTCTTTTGGTTATAGTCTAACTGATTTTGTTTGAATTTTTTTTAATAATTATTAATTTAAATATTATAAATTTAAAGATTACTAAAAATTCATGCTATTGTTAGTTTTAAAATTCATAAAATTAATTAAGTTGTAAACAAGTTTTCCAAACATATATATATATATATATATATATATGTGTGTGTGTATATATATATATATAGATTCAAGGGTAAGAACAATATGGATGAAATATTATGATATAATATGGTGCTAATCCATGGTTAGATATATCTTGTTGATGAGACGCAACAAGTACAAAGCAGAAAAAGGAGCACGATAATGCATGCTAATATTGTTTGACGGCATACTTTCGAAAACGAGAGTCTTGTCATCTTACAGCTGCACCAAACGCGTGGTTATAATTAAGGGAGTATTTATGAGTTAATGTGGCGAACAGTTAGTGGTTGAAACAATTTAATGCAGAATCAAATTGTTAAGGGCTATAAGGCCCTCGCTCACATCCGTCAATTTCTCATTAACGATCGACCTCGCCCTCCTAAAATCACAGACAAAATGGTACGTTTTACAAGGGAAGGTGCTTTGCTATCCTTGCTCTGTCTTAATGTGCTAGTAGTGAGCGTGCTTGCTAGACATGTAGTGGCTGTTAAAAATGAGGACGAGAAGTTCCTAGGTATTGAAAAGGGCGGAGGATTTGGTGGTGGATTTGGCGGAGGAGGTGGTGCAGGTGGTGGGTTTGGAGGAGGAGCCGGTGCAGCAAGGTGGAGGGATTGGAAAGGGTGGTGGGATTGGCAAGGGAGGCGGCATCGGGAAAGGTGGTGGACTTGGAGGCGGCATTGGGAAAGGAGGGGGAGTTGGCGGTGGGATTGGGAAAGGAGGAGGTCTAGGTGGAGGGATTGGCAAGGGTGGCGGCCTTGGTGGTGGGAGTGGCAAGGGAGGCGGCATTGGGAAAGGGGGGGGATTAGGAGGTGGGATTGGGAAAGGAGGGGGATTTGGCGGTGGGATTGGGAAAGGAGGAGGTCTAGGTGGAGGGATTGGAAAGGGCGGTGGCATTGGTGGTGGGATTGGAAAAGGAGGTGGGATTGGTGGAGGGATTGGGAAAGGTGGTGGACATGGAGGCGGCATTGGGAAAGGTGGTGGAATTGGTGAGGGAGGGGGAGTTGGCGGTGGGATTGGGAAAGGAGGAGGTCTAGGTGGAGGAATTGGAAAGGGCGGTGGCATTGGTGGTGGTATTGGAAAAGGGGGTGGGATTGGTGGAGGTATTGGGAAAGGTGGAGGAGTAGGTGGTGGTGGTGGTTTTGGAGGTGGATCTGGTGGTGGCCTTGGTGGTGGGTTTGGAAAAGGTGGAGGTGCTGGAGGAGGAATAGGAGGTGGTTCTGGCGGTGGCTTTGGTGGAGGAGGTGGCAGCGGAGGTGGGTTTGGTGGCGGGGGTGGGTTTGGAGGCGGTCGAGGAGGTGGAATCGGACACCACTAAACTGTTTGCGTTGCATGCATGCATGCATGCAATCTCATATAAAGAAAAAAAAGAGAGACCTCTCTAAAAATATATCAACTATGCAATTTATCTAGTATTTCTGTTGTATTGTCATCATAATAATTGATTTCTTGATTCCTAATTGTTGTCACTCCGTTCATGTGTTTTATTTATTATACTTAATTTCTACCAAGAATTTTGCACGCCTACATGCCCATGCTTTCTCGTTAACTCAAATGTGAACCTATATAATTCTGAGCTACGGCTAAGCTACACATGAGATGAAGGAGAGTCATCATCAAAATGGGTCCTCTTTTTATTTAATAATAATAGCAATTCCATCAAAGAGAGGGCATCAACCATTTTAGAAGCCTCCCATAATAGTATTGGTGCAATTCTGATGTCTACTTCATCACTAATAACTTATTTATTATTTTTTAAAATAGTTTTTGTTTAGAAATATTTTGAATTTTTAACTATATGAAAATATAAATAAAAGTAATTTAAAATAAAAATAATAATTTTTTTTATAAAAACAGGTACTTTTAAAAATACAAAAACAAGCTAGTATTAAACTTGAATAAGTAAAAAATATCACTTATAATAAACATTGATATACATGCTTATGTTACAACAAGTTATTTTTTTAAAAAAAAAAATATGTTTATTCTACTTTTATTTAGTTTTTTTTTTCTTTTTTAGGGGACTTTTTTCTTGGTATTTATGTTTATTGACAATTTTGGCAGCATAGATTGGGCCTCCAGCCATTCTAATGGACCAAAACATTCGTTGTCGCCTGGATAGACAACCTTAACAAGTTTCAACCACGCGAAAACAAGGCTGACTTTGCTTTTAGAGCTAAGAATGAATTGTGCAGCGGATAGACAACCAAATAGTTGTCGCATTGAGAGGAAGACCATACGTCAAGGGTTATGGGTGCTCTTTAATATCATGTTCGACGCATGAAAGAAGGAAAGATATGACAAATTTTGTCTAGGATTTTTTATTTTATTTATTTATTTCAAGAATCAAGTTATATATCAACAGAAGAACATGAGTTTGTTTGTTAGAACAAAAGGAGAAAAAAAAAGACATTTCAATTATTATTTCCTTGAAAAACATTTTGCTTATGTAGTTGTTTTTATTTTATGTTTAATAGTTTAATTGTCGAGTTGTAAATGCAAGGTTAGTGTATAACTGGCTTGTATGTTCTAGCTATGTTACTGGAGACCTGTTTTTTATTTTTTTCTAATTAAAAAATATATAATTTTTGAAAAACTTTTTGTTATTATTATTAAACCCAAAAAATATATTTATTTTAAATTTTTTTCTTTGTCAATATATTTTTTTTATTAATGTATCTCTTGCTTATCTGGTCAAGATAATATTTTTAAATAGAATCAATATTTTTATTTTATTTAAAAATATTTTATAATTATTAAGACAAGTTAACAAGTAATTTTAAAATAATATGTTTATATTATGTGTGATGAAAAGCTAAAGAAAATTATAAATATGATAAAATTATGTTCAAAATCAATTCAAAAGTTTTAATGATAAAAAACCGAATTTAATCAAACTTTCATTAATAATTTACTTTTAGTGTAATCATTTTCATTTCAAGTATATAATAATTAAATAAAATTATTAAAATTCAAATAAAAATTTATAATAATATTTAAAAATCATGTTAAAATTTAAAAAAAACAAATGAATTTTGTAAATTTTTCCTGGACGGTAAAAAAACAAAGAAAACAAAAAGGAAAACAGAAAAAAGACAGTAAAGAAGCATGCGTCTGGCCTGCATGCTTCAATAAAATGATTATAAAAAAATAAAGTGCTTTACATGAACCATAAAAACCCTAATTATTTTTAGTGTCGTGGGTTAATCTTTTCTCTTTGCTTTTTAATCCTTGAATCTCAAGAGGATCGCATTCATGAGACAGCTAGCACTAGAAGATAGTAATAAAAACATACCCACTCACCAGAGCACAGCCGCTTGGGTTAGCCTTAATTCAGAAAAAAAGCTTACTTGGCTCTGTCTATGTTCCTAAGAGGCTTGTTGGCCTTGCCAGTTGCCTGAAGTATCTGCTACTGCAGGAAAAATACAGCAAAGCAAAGTTGCGAGGAATTATTGTGGGGGGCAGCACTGCAGTTGACCGGAGTGTGAAGGGTAGATTTCAAACTGGGTCCCATGTCCGTTTCTTTCACCAATAGCATGAGCTGCGCAATAAAGTATATTTCTTGATAACATTAAAGCATACTTTAATTAATTAATAAATGTGTAATTATGAACCATAAACTTCCCTCTGTTCACACCTTTGAAATAAACTCTGATTCCGTGATGTAATGCTCATACATGCTTCCTTGTACTGTTTGAAACTTCAACAACTACACTGGAAATAGTTCTCAAGATAAATGAACTTCAAAGAAATTTGAAGTCCACACTTGAGAGGGAAGGAAAAGGACGGTTAATAAAATAGAATAGGGGAAAGAAAGAAGCTTGGGATTCTTGGTTGAATTGTGGAGATGTACCGTGAAAGTCTTGATGTGTTGTGGGCTCAGTCAATACTTTTTTGCCATGAAAGGTACTTTCTTTTGGATGGTTATTTTGATCCCAGCTGTTTTCTTTGCCTATATGGTAAAGGGTTTATTTTACTTCCCCTACTTTACCTTCCATTGCAGTCATGTTCTGTGGTTGATTTTCTGTTGCAAACAAGTCATCTGGGTGGTTTAGCTGGACTTTTCTTGTTTTTGAGCTTTCTACTCCCCTTTTACTTTTCTTTAGCCTGTGGGGTGCTGAGGTCTGGGTGGTTTATTTGTGTGGTGGGCTTTGGTGAAGAAGAATTCAAATTTAGTGGCTAGTTTTGCATTTCAAGTGATAATTTGGATGCTCGAATTCTCAATTTTGTGGTTTCAAGGGCTTGAAATGTGTTAAGCGAAAATAAGACTTTTAAGTCATGGTTGATTAGGATGGCAATGTAGCTTTCATATGTTTGTTAAGAAAAACTCATTGGTTCGATATATTTGAGAGCTCACAGGTTCAGGTTCTTCCATGTTGTTCATGATCATAGAATACATGGCAGGCAATTAGAGCATAGTTATTTTTTTGTTGTTTAAGTTACTCAAGGAGTTCTGATTTTGTGTGTTTTGCTTTTGATTCTGTTTTGGAACAATATCAAGGGTAATGAAACGTTATGAGACTTAAGAATTGGATAAAAAGGCGGGGACTTGGCATCAGAGGGAGATTGTGGAAGATGATGAAGTGTATACGTTCCGGGGAGCAGCTAAGATTAGATGACATGGCTTCTTCTTCAGAGTCCTTGGCAACTCGGGACTATTCGGCCAGTTATTCATCACGAGCTGCTGAGGCAGATATAAAGATCGAGAATAGCAACATTGAAGAAGCAGAGTCATCCCTTCGTGAGAGTGGTTATCTCAACTATGAGGTAAAGAAATAAGGCTTTGTTATCATTTTTTTTTTTGCTCTGCAAGAATTGAATGTCAATGGACTTGATAAACTGTTTAAATTTTCATATTAAATCTGTGAAGAAGACACTGAAAAAAGCTATGCAATGAACTGTATCTATATACAGGATTTAACTGTTATGCATCTTTTAGGTGTGGATAATGGGGATGCCTTGATATGTTAGGGTGACCATAAAAACTTCCGTTTTGCAGTGAATGAAACCACAGCATAACCATTTGGGGGCAGTATTGTGTAGTGTGCGCGTGCGTGTGTAATTTGAGATGAAGCATATAATGTTAAACTCGTGATGTTATTTGAGATGGTCCGATCCCATTCAAGGTCAAACTATTGGATCCATCAATAAGAAAAAAATATCGAATCAAAGTATTAGAAGAGAAGAAAGGGAAAGTGTATTTGAAGCACTCAACTGCGGCTTGCATTTTTCTTTGGGCTCATTTATAAGATTTGATGCTTTGTTTCTGTTTTATTTGACGCACCTTACTGCAATTCCTCATCATTGAAATTGTTATTTTTGTTGAATTTTATAATGTAACTTCACAATACTTCATGAGGCTAAGAGGCCATCTAATTTTATAGGAAGCGAGAGCATTATTGGGAAGGCTCGAGTATCAAAAAGGAAATATAGAAGGAGCACTTCATGTGTTTGAAGGAATCGACATTGCTTCTGTGACTTCTAAGATTAAAGTCTCCCTTTCTAGAAGATGTGAACAAAACCGACGCCGTTCTCAAAGTGATGCTGCGCCACCCATGTCGATGCATGCTATTAGTTTACTTCTTGAAGCTATTTATCTCAAAGTAAAATCATTGCAGGGTCTGGGACGGTTTGAAGGTATATTCTGACCTTATTTTCGTTTTCCATGTTATATTTTCTAGTTTAGTGCAAAGAAACTTTGGGATCCAGATGCTGTGGTTTGACTTTGGAGAGCCACTGATTTGTAAGACCCTGCAGTAGCAGGACTGTCAGTGGGCAGCAAGCTTCTCTTAATGTAGTTTGCTTGGAAATCTCAAGTCTCGAATGGGTCCAAATAAATAATTATAGAGGCACTTTTGCTTGTTTTAAGAAAAAAAATTAAATATATCAAGGAGTCATGTTGCATGGTTCTTACAACTATTGTACCTAAGTTTTCTCCATGGGTTATTTTGTATGCAGCAAGCTATTTCATGTATGTATGTTTAGATGTTCTTATATCATGAACACATGCATGCACAGATGCAAATGATGAAATATGAGATGAAAGGATTCTAAATGGCTGTATGTGATGTATATATTATTTTTTCTTTATGGCTAACTTTCCTTCCTGCCTATGTTTGCAGAAGCAGCTCAGTCATGCAAAGTGATTTTGGACACTCTTGAGTCTGCATTACCAGAAGGCATACCAGAAAGTGTTTCTGCAGATCGGAAGCTACAGGATATTCTAAACAAAGCTGTTGAATTGCTTCCTGAGTTATGGAAACTTGCTGGGTCTCTCCAAGAAGCTATCTTGTCATACCGGAGGGCTCTCCTATATAATTGGAATCTGAATATGGAGACCATAGCTAAGTTACAAAAGGAATTTGCTGTTTTTCTGTTGTATAGCGGTTGTGATGCAAGCCCTCCTAATCTCCGTTCACAGGTGGACGTATCTTTTGTACCAAGAAACAATATAGAAGAGGCTATTCTTCTGTTATTAATTCTATTAAGAAAATTTGCTGTCAAAAAGATT